TTTGGTTTTGGCTACTAAAACAATGTAGTCGCCGAATGGAAAATAAAAAATTATTTTTTATCTTTTGGCGACTAAAATTTTGGTTGCCAAAAAACTTTTTTTTAACGACCAAAAAAATTTTAGTCGCCAAATTAGTACTTTTAACGACTAATATTTTAGTCACCGTTGATTGAGATTTGGCGACTAAAAACGTTTGTCGGTGAAGGTACCTTTTCTGTGACTAATTTGGTCTTTTGGTCGCCAAAAGTTTGAGAGGGAAATTTGAAATGTGGGGCGCGGGAATTGAAATTTTTTTGCGACAAAAAAAATTTAGTCGCCGATTGTTAAACGACGTCACTCGTTTTTATTTTATTTTTATTTTTTTGTATTTTTTGTGTTTTAAATTTTTTTTTATAAAAAGAATTAAATATTTATATTATACCTAACTAAACTAAAATTTTAAATTTAAAAATATATATAATTCACTCCACCAGTAAAAAAATAAAAATCACTTGAGATTATTACTTGAAAAAAATAATTACTTAAAAATTATTTTGTCACAAATTTGATAGCAAATTAGTGCTAAAAGTTTGCATAGCAAATTAGTTCCTAATCCTTGGCAACAAAAAAAAAATGGGTCTCAGAAAAACGTTTTTACTTGACCACAAAAAATTAACTTTATTTTAATAAAAAATATTTTTCATTAAAATATTACCCTAACTTCTACTAAATAAAAATAATAATAATTTTTTCATTAAAATAAAAATAAAACAAATAAATTTTCAACCTTAGTAATTAAAAAAAAATCAAAAATAAAAAAAAAATCATTAACTACAAAAAAAATAAAAATAAATAAATAAATAAAATAGAATAAAACCACACCACCTCTCCTCTTCTTTTCTTCTTTTCTTTTCGTTTCCCCCTCTTTCTATCCAAATTCCCCCCTTCCTTTCCCCCCGTTTTTTCTCACCAACTCAAATCTCCAATCCCTGACCCCTTAAACAAAAAAAATCCCCAATTTCAAAAATCTCCAAAATACTCTCTCTCTCTCTCTCTCTCTCTCTCTCTCTCTCTCTCTCTCACGATCTGCAACAGCAGTGCAGTGCAGCAGCAGCAAGGGGGGACGATGCGCGAGCAGCGAAGCAACGACAATGAGCAGCCAACGTGAACGACAGCTAGCAGCGAGGCACCGTGGTGCGGCGTCTCAGATACCTTTGCCGATTCAACCCGCTCCTCCGATTGAGCTATTAGGTTTTCCCCAAAACGAAAAACCGACTAAGGTAAGCCTCTCTCTTCTCTCTTCTCTCTCTCTTCTCTCTCTCCTCTCTCTCTCTCCACACACAACGCGCGCACACGACACACATTTCATCACTTATGTATATGCACATAAGTAATTGAGGCTTATATGATGAACATTTGTGTTAAATTTGTTTGCCAGAAACTGGCTTTACTCGCATTTTCTTAAATTTGTTGTCGAGCTTCCACAGCCACAACAGTTGACTCTAGTGCTGGAAACCAGTAATGTTCACTGCCTTTAAAATTCTTCATGAAGCACAGAAGATGAAGAAATTCATATTTGATTGGAAGTGTAAAACTGATGAATGATGCTCTTCTGTCTAAAACTAGGGTAATATTTATATCATTCCATGATTTCTATAAGTAGTCCGAAAACATACATGAAGTGAAAAATAAAATAAAAATAAATAAAAATTGTATCATTATCTAATGTATTTCAAATTGGCTTCAAATTAAGCATTTCATGTGAAACCATATGGGATTCAAGTTTGGAGTCATTAAATGAGCTAAAAAATTCCCTTTTTAGCCTATCACCAGAGAAGTAAGAGAAAATTTCAAGTTATTAGTTTCCAGAAGGAAAAGATAAGGAAACATCATGAACTAATTTCTCTGCAAAACTAACTAAATTAAGCTTTCTTGTAAAATGTTGACTTTGAAGAGTGTTATTCTACATTTGCTCCATAAACACGTCGCTTCTATCTTAACCTTTAGAATCAAAGATAAGTCAACAATGTCAAGTTAACCACAAATCATCACTTCATTAATTATTACGACGTATACAGTGCAGATGGAACTGTAGTAGACAAAACCATATTCATATGCGATGTCGTGAAGTTTGCATAAAAATGAAAAAAAGCACATAACAATTACCCAAAACATTAAGAAAGTGACAAAAGCCCTAATTTATACTTTCAATACAACACAAATATATGTGAGATGAGACGAAAACTAAATAGAAAATTAGCATATGTATTTATTCAATGAGAAAAAACAAAAAATTGAAAATGTAAGCTCAAATTATAATTAATTTCATTTCTATATATTATGCAAGTCAATTGCCAGTTTTTATATATAGATTTAGGCTGTGCAAATATGTTTAATTAAGAACATAAAGCACGCATGAGTGTATGTACCTGCTAATTATAAAGACTATGAGAGAGAGAGACGAGAGAGAGAGAGAGAAGAGAGAGATCATGGGGATCACGAGATTTGGATCAAAACATTTTAACCATGGGTTGTCTTTGTAATTTGTTCATATTTTCTATTGCACATGGAACTTTCAACTTCAAAGTTACATTTCTGTACAAAATTGTTTAGAGCACTCTAATTTTAAGAATGGAAATTCATTTGCTTTCTCTGATGGTTCCGGTATTGTGAATGATATGATAGGAGGGAAACTTCAACTTGGTAAAAGATGCAAGTTTGGAGCAAAAACATTTAGTTTGCACTTTGCAGTCTCTATGATGCTTGCAAATTAAAGGTCAATAATCAAATCTGGAAGGTGCGCACCAACTGTGTTTTTGATGTATCAATTTGATGTAGAGAGATGAGAAAAGTTTATTTTTGCTCACTATATCTAACCATGAATGTGAGAATGAAAAAAAATGTCGCAAAAAGTTCTCATCATAGACTTCAGTGCCCCTCTCAATATTATGAGAATTTGTTTTATGTAAAACACTATTTTCTAGAAGTTTTATACATGATCTTCCACCAGAATTATGTGTTAGAGACATTTTTGTAATTAAAAGGCATTTTTTTTTTTTTATTTTTTTTAAGTGATAGGCTCACAACATGCCACATCATTTTGTATAAATTTTGGATAATATCTACAAACAGAATTTTTATGCAGAAAACATATCTGAATGCTAGCGGGTTTTTGGTTTGAAATGAAAATATCACAGAAGGTCACATACATGGTTATTACGTATGAGAATTTTATACAAAAACTGTTTGTATAACATTACTCATTATTTTTGTTTATTCTTAGTATGTTTCTTGTACAATACTCTTGTTTATATATGTATTGTTCCATCCAAGCTTGCATCAACGCCCAGCGTATCATCAATTGCTGCACAAAAGTGTTGCGCATGCACACTCCTTGGATGCTGAGTGCTCTGGAAATAAGGTAAATATGACTATATTGAGTTCTTGTCTCTATTTTTTATTTTCATATTATGCTGGAAAATGAAAGTGTTGGTAGAGGTATTAAAAAATCTATAGTGAACTGCATGTGCAGGTTTTGGTCCAAGTAATGTTTGTGCAAATGTCTAAATGATTTTTGTGGTTTAACAAATCAATTTGAACGTCTGAATGGTGCATTTTTTCTGTTTAATTCTCTACCCACAGTCTTAGCAATCCTCTTTAATTTGTGGAACCATCCTATTCACAATTTGCCCTTATTATCTGAAATTAAGTAATATTTTGCATGTAGTTTAGGACCTTGAATTTGGTGAACGTATGACATCTTTATTCCTCCTTAATTTTCCCTGCCATGAGAATATATTTAAGGAATATGCTAACCACTGCCCAATGAGCGGTGGTTAATGTTGATATGTGTAAAAATTGTGTTAAAATATGTAAAATGTATAGGAATATATGAGTTTAACATTATTTAATTCTTAACGTAAGTTCATTAGGTGGTTCTTAGTAGGACCCTATATTTAAAATAAGAAATTGAAAGCTATGTCAAAAAGGAGCAACTATTATCACATATCGCTATACAAACTTGAATCCAAACACGTTTTTGTATCACTTTGGAATCCTAAATCAACAACACATGCATAGGTTGTGCTAAAAAAGTCAGGAAAGAGCTAGGAAAGTGGTTTTTTTGATGAAATTGTGGAAGCAAACTAGGAAAAAAAAGTGGGTAGTTGGAAAAATTAGAATCTTGCAAATCATATTCTGTCAAAATGTCCTTTTCATAATTCCGAGTAAAAAAAGTGATTAGTGTTCAATGTAGAATCTTGCAAATTCCTCAAATTTAATACTTGAATGGTTGATTTGAAAGGTGCATGGATTTAAGATAGCCTAGCATCATCTCTGGTAACAGGAACAAAAGGTAAAAAAGATGTAAACAATGAAATTAAAGACCAGTGAAAAACTCAAGGCTTGCCTGTTTGGTGATGTTCTTTGCAAACTAAACGTTAATCATTCCTCCTAAGATTAGTTTGAAAAAAAAAAAAAACTTATACACATGTGGAAATGGATGTGTCTTTGCCATCGGTGTGCATCTCTGATTCAGCCATCATGGGACGAGAATCGATTGATGATCAGAGCAGGGAGGCAGATTTAGATTCATTATACCAGAAGTATACTGACAGGATGCGATGGTTTGATTTACTCAATCATGACAGAAAATAGCAATGTAATCAGGTAATTTGGACCCCAATTTTGAATTGGTCATATATACCAGAAAAGTCATTATGTTATTTGGGTCATTATCATCTGATCATGGTTGTTTTAAACATAGCTGCCACTCTAGCACAATTTTAAATCCTACCCACAGAAAAAATTATAAAACCATATAATGAACTGAGTCTGAAAATCATAATGCTTCTTGGGCAGAGGTACATAATCATAGAATTGTGCATTTTCCCTGTTGCTGTGTGTTTGCTTTCTTTCTTTTAGGTTCTACATAATGCTTCTATAGCAAGAAGCATATCTTGATGTTTCATTTTGATTCTGAATGCTGTGCAAAAAACAAAAAAAAAAAAATTGGTTTAAGTCTTGGATGCATTTGTTTAGTATTCGATTCTTTTTTGGTTTCAGGATTGGACACAGTATGATAACTGATACTGAGCAGAGGGGTCTTATAACACCAGGGAAGGTAACATAACCATGAATACAACCCTTACCTCGTATTGCATAAAGGATGTGTGCAATCTTGATGTGCTTTGCCTTTTGTTTTTGCTGTATTTGGACAATAGCAGCCCTTGTATATTAAGGTAGCCCTTCCATAGATAGGCCGCCTTAACAAAAATTGGAGTCCATGAAACTAATTTTTTTATACACCATCAGCACATAAACACTTAAATCAACAGCTGTAATGTACCTTTAACCCTAATAATAATATATCTTTTGTTGTAAACAAATGATCTGAAGTAGAACACAGCATGAATGCATTTAACACATCACAGTGTTATTTTTCATCTTAGCTCAAAATGCTTCCTGTAAATTTGTATGGCACGTTATGTCCTCAATATGTTGATAATCACTTTAGTTTAGATTAACATTTATCCTGTCTATCAAAAAAATAAATTAATTAATTAAAATATATCGTGTTTATCATTCTGATGCAACAATTTTCTTCTTTTTTCCCCATCTCCTCTGCCCCCCCTCTATCTAGAGCATTCTGGTGGAGCCAACTAGTGGAAACACTGGCATTGGACTTGCATTTATAGCTGCTTCAAAAGGATATAAGCTCATATTGACAATGCCAGCCTCAATGAGTCTAGAAAGAAGGGTTCTTTTTAAAGCTTTTGGAGCTGAGCTTGTTTTGACTGATTCTGCTAAGGGGATGAACGGAGCAGTTCAGAAAGCTGAAGAAATTTTGAATAGCACGCCAGGTGTGAACCCTATTGGCGTCCACAATGTCCTCGAAGTTTCTGACACAGAGTTCTTGTTTTAGTCAAAGCTTCCACATATTATTTACTCGTAGAATTGTTTCTTTTTGTTCTTGCTAAAACTAGGGTGTTTCAGTTTGAATTGGAATGTAGTTCTATAAATAGGATGTATATAATGTACACTAGTGTTTTGGGAAATTTAAGAAATTTTGAAAGTAGGTTGTTTGACAGTTTAGAAAGGTGCTGTTGGATTCTTTGGTTGTCATTATTTTGTGTGAACAATGTCTGGTGGAACACCAGTTGGAGATGTCTGGTTGTTTCAGTTTGAATTGGAACAATGTCTGGTTGTTTGACAGAAATTTAATAAATTGAATGTTAATGAATTATGTATTGTATCGAATGTTAATGATTCAGTTAATTTGAGTGATGCTTTAAAATTATAGATTTATTATGGATTGAATAAATTATTAGGAATTACAAGTATATTGTTTTCCTGCTTTGGCGACCAATTTATTAGTCGCGACAAATAAATAATTTTTTTTCGCAAAAAATACATCTATTGCCGACCAAAATAGCACTTGGTCGTGGAAACTCACTTTTGCCGACCAAAAGTTTTGGTCGCGAATAGTAACAAATGGCGACCAAAATCTTTTTTGGTCGTTGAATGTCACAATTGGCGACCAAACTACCAAACTTTTTGGTCGGGAAAATATCACTTTTCGCGACCAAAGTGTTTTAGCAACTAAATGAATTAGTCGCGGTAATGATATATTTCGCAACCAAAAATTTAGTCGACAAATCTGACTTTTGCCGACCAACCAAAATTTTGGTCGCGAATTACTTTTGCCGACCCTCAATTGGCGACCAAAGTAGCGACCAAAAAATTTGGTCGCGGATAACTTTTGCCGACCAAAAATAGACTTTTAGCGACCAATTTTTTTGTTGATGAATTAGTCGCGGTAATGATATATTTCGCAACAAAAAATTTAGTCGACAAATCCGACTTTTGCCGACCAACCAAAATTTTGGTCGCGAATTACTTTTGCCGACCCTCAATTGGCGACTAAAGTAGCGACCAAAAAATTTGGTCGCGGATAACTTTTGCCGACCAAAAATAGACTTTTAGCGACCAATTTTTTTGTTGCCAAAAGTGTTAATTATTGTAGTGAAAGTTGAGGCAGAGACAACAATGACAACAGTGATGATTTGTTTCGTGATTAAGGGTAACGATGAATTAATTGGGTGATCGTTTTTGGAATTTTAGGATTTTAAAATTTTTAGATAAATTATTGTAAGAATAAAATTGTAATAAAAAATAAAAAATAAAAATTGGGGTGTACACAGTTATTTTGGTAGTGTATGACACTCAAAACAGTTACAACTCCTTGAGGTTCTTTTGGAAGGTGGGTCAGTAATTACTTCTCGGTTTTTAATCATTTTGACATATATCACCTTTCACGTTTCTTACACGTTTTTTCAAAAAAAAAATAAATAAATTAAAAAATTAGTTTTTAACTATTTTTTCAAAATATTTCTTAAATTTGTAAATTAAAAATAAAAATCAAAAGCACTCCTCATCCAATTTTTAATTTTTTTTTTAATTTACTTAATTTATTTCTATATAATAAGTTATATGCAGAAATTACGCTAAATAAATTATCAAAATTTAAAAAGAAAAAAAAAACTACAATGCCGATAAATTGTGCCTATTTTGTCAACGTTTGGGAAGAGGGTTGGCTTTTTGGCTTTTTGACTTTTTGGCTATTTTAGCCTGGGCTATTTTAGCCTGGTTTGGGAAGGGCTTTTTGACTTTTTTTATGAGAGAGGATTGTAATGATTATGGGTTGGATTTGATGTTTTGTTTTTTGTGGCTAAAATAGCCTATTTTGTTTTTTGTGGCTATTTTAGCCCCAAACCAAGTTCCCAAACAATGCCTTTGTCAACTGAGTTAAAAGTCAATTTTGTAGTTTTTGATTTTTTTTAAATTATATCATCTCTTTAAAAAAAATTTACATATTTTTAAAAATAAATAAAGAAAAATACTTGAGACCCGTATTTTTTTGAAGACCCTACAATCCTTTTAGATTTCAATTATTGATGTATATGTGAAGCCTATACCATCAATAATAAAGACCTAAAGAGAATTATAGGAAACTCCAAAAATAGAATCTCAACCATTGATGATAATTTAAATAAAGGACTTTTCTTAAGTGTGCCTTGCATATGGTATGCAAGGCATTTACGACCTTGCATTTACACCTTCTATGTATTGAATTTTTTTACATTTACACCATTTACACCTTGCATATGGTGTGCAACCTTAAAGGGTTGCACACTTAAACATTACCCTTAAATAAATTGTGTTTCAACCAAATTCTTCTCAAAATAGGCCAGAGAGGATAATTTGGGGGTGCGCGTGGGGAAATGGAAGACTGAAGTGGATGAAGTGACGTGGGCAGTGGGGACACGTGGGAAGAGGGAGAGAGGTATGGAACAAGAGATAGACACCGTAGGGGCTATCTCACCACATCTCTCCTCCACGCGCTCTCTTCATAAGAAACCAACCTACTTTCTTTCAGCCACCTAACCTAAGAACCAGCCTGTTTGTCCCTGTAAATAAATGTGCGCATAGGGCGCATGTTAGAACTAGAGCGTTGTTTGGATGAGTTGCAAATTGTAGTGATATCTCTCTCAATTGAGACATCACCTACAAAAGTGGTGGTCTGGTGTGGTTGAAGTTGAGGAAAGGAAAGGAGGGTCCACTCGATGTGATGTGATGTGATGCTATCAATCATGTATTACGTGGAAAATATATATATATATTATTTTAAGATTTTTGAAATCACATACAAAAAATCTATCTTGAGAGAGAAAACTTTTTTTTTTTTCCCGTCTTTTAGACATTTTTTTGATTAAAAATAATTAAAAAAAATAAATTTGAATTAAAATATCTAATAAGACCATTTAATTTTTAATTTTTTATTTTTTTTAGATTTGTAAAACTAGACCTAAAAGCATCTCTATCAGATTATTTAAATTTTACTCTAAAATATTATTAAAAAATTTATTTCTTATTTTAAGAATTATTTTTGTATTTATTTTTCTCAATAGACTCCCTATTATTTTTCTATTCTATTAAAATATAATTTTTTAATTATAAATTTAAAAAAAAAATAAAAATCATAAATGTGTATTGTTGTTTCTAAATGAAAATAAATAAATAAATAAATTAATTAATTAATTATAAGGGAGTTAACAATTTCTATTATAGAGAAATGTTTAAAGACTCTAATGGAAGGGTATAGGAAGCTACTAATCCCTTAAAATAGATAAGGACGAAATTAAAGAGTTGTATTAGGGATGCTCTAACTCGCATTTCTATCAAAAGGAAAAAATTGTATTATTGATCTTATCATTTTGTTTAAAAAGTGGAGTACTTACGTATAGGTCTTAATTAGTGAATTTTTTGTTTAATAGGTTCTATGGGAAAAAAGTTTCATAAAAAAATGTCACTAACTGTAAGTTTTAGCAACAATTTATAAAAATTATGACAAAAAAAATTACTAATTGTCAATTTTTAGCGAAGTATTTAAAAAACTATCAACAACAAAAATATTTTTAGAGACAATTTTATCAAGACTTATTTTCAATAGGACTTGATGGGAATTAAGTCTAACTATTAGGACCTGTTGATAGTTTACCCTTAAAAAACTTAACGTATCCTAATTTAAGAGGAAGAGAGACCTTTCACTTTGAGCTATTTTCGGAAGTGAATTAAAAGCCACTTCTTAACTTTGAACCCACATCTCTCTCTCACAAAATAGTCAAAAAAGTTAAAAAGTAATTTTTAACCATTTTCTCAAAACACCCCTTTGTCATTGTAGTGTTTAAGAAAGTTGGTAAAAAATTAATTTTTTGATTTTTTTTTTTTTTTTTGGTGACTTTTGGCTTTTTTGTAGTAAAAAAAAGGTCTGCTTTAGCCCCCAATCTCTGCTCAGTTCTACAAAAACAAGGACACTGTTGGTCTTAAATAAGTGGTCGGCCGGCCAAGATTAGATAGTCGGCCGACGGAGTGATGTTGGTCAGCCATTGTTTGAAGGGTCTACCTATTGCAACAGAAAAGAGAAAGAGTACAAATAGAATATTTTTAGGGGATGCTTGTCCTCCCTAGAGTACTAGGGTGGACAAACATTTATGATATACCAATGCAACGCACACATTTATGGAATTTTTAATAGGCTCGACTATGAGCATGGTATATGATCTAATTCAAGACAGGGGATAAATCACGTTTTCAAACAATGATGTTGAACATTGGCATTGGTTAGTATGATGAGCCGAACCCAAATGTACATAAGACGAGTGTATGAAAACATAGGAGTGCTAAGTAAGTATGATGCTCTATTCTACCATTATAAGCAGGCAGATAAAAGTGAGAAAGAAGTGGGGTTCAAAGATATACAAGATTATTACATATTCGCTCTTGCACAAGATGGTTCGAATAAATGGCCGAATTAAACAAGCTATTACAAACCAAACAAATAGATTAACTAATTTAACTAATTAATACAAACAATCTATGAACTAATTATTACAATTAATTATAAAAAGTGATAAGAGACAAAGAAACGCGTGTGCATGAATCCGAATTTTCGCACGAAAATGCCTATGTTTTGCTGCTGGAACAATTCTGTTTTGTAGTCAAAAGAAAAGGTCTGTTTTATCCACCAACCTCTCCTTTGTTTTGCCAAAACAAGGACACTACTAGTCCAAAATAAGTGATTTGCTGGCCAAGAGAAGATGGCCAGCCGACTGAGCGATGGCCGGCTGCCCACTGTTTGAAAATCTGCTCTCCTGCAACAGAAAAGAGACAGAGTACAAAGTATTTTCAGGGGATGTTTGTCCACCCTGGAGTACTAAGGTGGACAAACATTTATGATACACTAATGCAATGCACACATTTATGGAATTTTAATAGGCTTGGCTATGAGCATGGTATATGATCCAATTCAAGAC